TCTTTGGGGTATATTCCCAGTAGTGGAATTGCTGGGTCAAATGGTATCTCTATTTGCAACTTTTTGAGAAAGCGCCATACCACCTTCCACAGTGGTTGCACCATTTTACATTCTCATCAACAGTGAATAAGGGTTCCAGTTTCTTCACAACCTCACCAGCATTTGTTGCTTGCTATTTTGTTAAATTTTGCTATTCTGACTGGGGTGAGATGATATCTTACAGTTGTTTTGATTTGCATCTGTCTTAGAGCTAGGTATTTTGAACATTTCTTCATGTGCTTGTTAACCATCTGGATGTCTTCATCGGTGAAGTGTCTGTTCATATCCTGTGCCCATTTCCCTATTGGATTTTATACCTTTATCTTGTTGTGGTGCTCAAGCATTTTATAAATTCTGGATATAAGTCCCTTATCTGACATGTCATTACCAAATACTTTTCCCCAGTCCATGACTTCCCTTTTTACCCCGTTGGAGAAGTTTTTGGATGTGCATAGGGATTTGATTATTGGAAGATCCCATTCATCTATTTGATCTTCCCCTTCTCTGTGCTTCTTGAATGTGGAGTTCCCCATTCTTCAAAATACCTGGTATTTCTTCTAGTACTTCTTCCACAATTTTGTCAGTGATTTCCCTGTCACTCCCCTGTTCGGGAATTCTAGTCCTATGTGTGTTATTCTGTTTGATGTCATTCCACATGATTCTGATGTTTTCTTCATTTTCTTAATGTCTCATCTCTGATTTTTTTTCTTCATGTATGTTTTCAGTGAGGCTCTTGTCTTCTAACTCACTGACTCTCTGTTCCATCTCTTCAGTTCTTCTTTTTTCTGCTACCAGCGTGTTGGACACTCCTGCCATTTTGGTCTTAATATTCTGGATTGCATTATCATGCTTTTCAGTTATTTCTAGTGCTGTGTTGGCTGTACCCTCTTTGTCTCATGATGATTTTTTAAGTTCTTGTACCTATTTACGTGTTCAGTCAATTCTTCCATCTTTTGCATTTTCTTGATAGCTGTTCAAGTTGCTCCTCATCAATATATTTCTTCTGGACTGTGGTTTCTGTGTTATTTGCTTTCTTAATTGTTTCTTCCATCATATGCATCTTCTTCTGTAGCTGTTCAGATCCCTTCACATCAATGTGTTTCTTCAGGTTCTCTCTATCTGGGGTATTTATTTTTGTCTGTTTTTTTAGGAGATGGGTTATTTTGTTTTTTCATGATAACTGAGGCAGACTGCTGCTTTCTTGACATTATGTGAGTCTTTTCTTAGTAGATATTAAGTTGTTATAACTGCATAGTGACCAAGAGTATGGCAGTATTTTGTGAAGGACCTGTATAATTGTGTTTTCTTCTTGGCCCAAGGCCTGCAGGGCTGAGGGCCAAGCAGCAGTGATCCTCACAAAGTACCTGAATGGAAAATGAGGAGGCCTTGGTTTTCCCTTCAAGAACTGGCTCTGCCGCCTCACTCAAGCTCCAGCTGTCCCGCTCCCTTCTGCTTGAGCTTAAGGGGTCCTGTGTGCTCCAGCCAAACAGTAGTGATTCCACAAAGTAGCTGTTGGAAAACCAAGAAGCCTTATTGGTTTCTCATGGAGAACTGGCCCTGCCGCCTTACTCAAGTTCCAGCTGTCTTGCTCAGCTCACTCTCTGACGACCACAGCTGATATTATTAAGCTCCTTCAACAATTCTTTCCATCAATATAATCAGTCTGATTCCTGTGCAGACCATCAGGTGAGATCCATGTGTATAGTTGGCCTTTGTGCTTCTTAGAAAGATATTTGCAATTAGTAAATCATTAATTGTGCAAAATTCTATCATTTTATCTCCAGCCTCATTTCTTTTTTTTTAATTGATTTTAATGTAAGTTTACAGAGACTTAGGGATTCCAGTCATTCATTGTTGCATTTTCTCCCTTCTCATCCCCTCCCCCCAAATTCACTCCTCTCCTTGAAAAGTAAAACTCTTTCATTGTTATGCAGTCCCTCCCCCAAAGTCCACTCCACTGTGAAGCCTTTATTCTGGACTCCTGTCATGACAGTAATACCTAATCATATATCCCTTTTAAATAGTTCTCTTCCTCATCTGTTTCAATGCAGTATACATCATTCTTCCCCTCCTTTTCTGTCTTCCATCAACCCAATGTCAGTCACATTTTACAACAGTGGTCCTATGCAATATTTGTCCTTTCCAGCCTCATTTCTGTCTACCAAGTCCATGTTTTACAACTACTGATCCTTCTTCCCTTTTCCCTACTTTTGCATATCAGTCATTCATTATTATTAATGCATCTTGGTTGCATGTTTGATCAATTTCTGACTGCAAAAGTTGGTAGAAATAATCTATTTCCTTATCTTTGGCTCTAGTTGTTGATGCATATATTTGAATGACAGTGATATTAACAGGTCTTCCTTGTATACGTAAGGATATTATCCTATCGTTATTATCTTTTGAGATGGATCTTGAAATGATCTGTTTATTTATAAATATGATCTTATTTCCCCTTTACCTTTTCATCTCCTGCATAGTAGATTCTATGATTGCCTGGCCCACAAGGTCTCATGCCAAACCATCTCAGCTCACCAATGCCTAGCATGTCAATATATATGAATTCCATTCCTTCCTTAAAAATGTCCAATTTTCAGAGGTGTGCGGTTCAAATCCACCAGATGCTCCCCTGGGGAAGGAGGGACACTCTCCTCCTGTACCAGTCAGATCTGATTTGACAGTACATGCACAAAAATTAATTAAATTAATAAATAAAATTAAAGAATAAAATAAAATTTTAAAAATTTAAAAATAATTGTCCAATTTTCCTACATTCATATTTCTAACATTCCACATTCCAGTCACCAGTGTTTGCTTACAACAGTTCCTCCTCCCTTCTGTTCCCCTTTAGCAGGGTTCAGCCTCTGGTGCCATATATACTAGTTTAAATATGCTGTATTGAACCATATAATGTTTCCTTGCTCTGTTCTGACAGCTACCTCCTGGTCCAAGTATAGGTTTCACATTAGCACCATCAAGTGTTCTGGGATTCCCTTTCTTCTCAGAGTCAGCCACAGTTTATTGTGATCCACACAGTAAAACGCCTTTGCAAAATCAATGAAACACAGATAGACATTCCTCTGGTATTCCCTGCTTTCAGCCAAGATCCATCTGACATGAGCTATAATATCCCTAATGTCACAGCCTCTTCTAAATCCAGCCTGCACTTCTGGCAGTTCTCTATTGATGTGCTGTTGCAGTAGTTTTTGGGTAATCTTCAGTAGAATCTTACTTGAATGTGATATTAATGATATTGTTTGATAATTTCCACACTCTATGGGATCACCTTTCTTTGGAATGGGAACAAATATAGATCTCTTCTAGTCAAGTTGGCCAGGTGGTTGTCCTCCAGATTTCTTGGCACAACTTGGTGAGCACATCCAGGGCAGCATCTGTTAGTTGAAATATGTCATTTAGTATACCATCAATTCCTAGGGCCTTAGTTTTGCCAATTTTTTCAAAGCAGCTTGAACTTCCTCCTTCATCACCACACCACAGGCTCTTGCTCATATGTTGTTTCACGAAATTCTTCTGTCAGCCAATTCTTTTTGGTACAATGATTCTGTATGCTCTCTTTCTTCTTTTAATACTTCTAGGATCACTTAATACTCTGCCCAAAGCATCCTTAAGTATTGCAACTCGAGGCTTGAATTTATTCTTCAGTTCCTTGAGCTTAAGAAATGCTAAGTGTAGACTCCTTTGATTTTCTGACTCCAGCTCTTTGCGCATTTCATTATAATACTTTGCTTTGTCTTCTCATGCTGCCTTTTGAAATCTTCTATTCAGCTTCTTATTATCTTGATTTTTTCCTGCTGCTGTGGTTTCTCTGCACTCTAGTGCAATATTCAGAGTCTCTTCTGACATCCATTTTGGTCTTTTCTTCCTCCTCTGTCTTTGTAATGCCTTTTTGCATTCTTCCTGGATGATACCCTTGATATCCTCCCATAACTTATCTGGTCTTCACTCATAAGTGTTCAAGGCCTTAAACCTATTCCTGAGATGGTTTTGAAATTCAGGTGGGATAGACTCAAGGTCATATTTTGGTTCCTGTGGATTTGATTTCATTTTCCTTAGCTTCAGCTTGCGTATGAGTAGTTGGTGGTCTGTTCCACAAACAGCATCCAGCCTAATTTCTACAGCTGATAGTGAGCTTCTGCAGTGGCTCTTTCCACAGATGTAATCAATCTGATTTCTATGCATACTATTAGGTGAAATCCATGTGTGTAAACCTGTGTTTATGTTTCTTATAAAATGTATTTTCAGTGAATAAATCGCTGGTGAAGAGACAGAGATTGTTCACAGCTTTAGTTTGCTTGGTTCCACAGTCAACCTTCTTGGCACCAGCCACCAGGAAATGAAAAGATACTTTGTGGTGGGAAAGTCTGCTGATTAGATGTTGTTCCCCCCACTTCGGGGCATGTGTTGTGGCCGCATCCGCAGCCCTCACCTCAGTTCTGTCCCCTGCCTAGCCTGGCAGCACTCCCCTCTCCCTTCCCCAGCCAGCTCTTGATATAGTGGCTCATGCCTCAAGTCACTTCCGTGGTGCTTCGCATACTGCTGGTCTCTCTCACTGCTGCTGGCCTCTCGTGTTTAGGAGGCTCCAAGTCCGAGGTATCAGCTTTCTGGAGGGTTTAGGGTAAAAGGATACAACCTTGGTGGATACTCTTCCTGATTTTAAACCATGCAGGATCCCATTGCTGTGTTTGAACAACTGTTTCTTAGTTCATTGCAAGTTCCAGATGAAAGTGTTCTGGGATTTGTATTCTTCTCAATGTCAGCCATCATTTATTATGATCCATACAGTCAAATGCCTTTGCAGTCAACGAAACACAAATAGCATCTTTCTGGTATTCTCTGCTCTCAGCCAAGATCCATTTCTTTATTGCAAATAGAGAAGCAGTAGTGTGAGTTCAGTAATATAAAGCAGTTGGTGGTGGCTGTCGGAGGCTGGAGCGCGGTGGGGACGGTGAAGAATGTGCCCGTGTAAAGGGACAGACAGTTCAGCTCAATCCAGTTGTATCATTCAGGTGGGATAAGGAAGCCCAGTGTGGCCACATCCTTCCATTTTCCAAGAGAAGCTAGACGTGCAAATGTATGGGAAATCAACCAAGTTTTAAAATGTTAGCTTAGGACTTGTGAAAGTCAAACAGAACATGTTTGTGATAAAATTTAACCCAGGCTACTGGTGAGTGACCTGTGGTTTATGGACAGTTCTGGAAACATGGACCCCTGTGAATACCAGGGACCCTCATCTCCGCTCATCACTGTGTACACAACACCCAAGATGGTTCTGGTTTAGAGGGTGATTACAGTTGTCGTTAAAGGTATTGTCAGTTGACACCTTGACTCATAGTGAGTCTGTTAGCAGCCGGTCGAAGCCTCGGGCTGCCCTGAGTCACTCTCATCAGCTCTGCCGTCCTCGAGCCCACGGTGCAGTCATCGTGCCAGTTCTGCTCATGAAGTATTTTCCTCTTGTTCCTCTCAGCCTCTGCTTTTCCCAGCATGCTGTCCTCTTTCTAAGAATTGGTGCCTCCTCACAACATGTCCAAATTATGGGAGACACAGTTTCATCCCCCTTTTCTCTAAGGGGCGCCCTGACTGCACTCCCTCTGAGCGACTTGTCTGCTCTTTTGGCAGGCCAGGAGAGAGAGGAATATGTTTCATCAGCATCAGAGTTCAGAGGAGTCAGTGCTCCTCAGTCTTGCTTATTCAGTGTCAAACTTTGCCATGCCCAAGAAGCAATTCGTAGTGCTATGCTTTGAGTCAGACACACCTCAATCTTTTTATTATTACTGTTATTATTAATTTGAATGAAAATTTACAGACTTTGGATTTCCATTCATTCATTGTTGCACTTTTCTCCCTGCCC